GCCGAAGCGCATTCTGGCCTCCGTCCCTTCCGAGGCATCGCCACCAGCAGCGGCGCATCCACCTGCACCTGCGATAACTGAGCACAGCTCCAGTGGGCCTCAGTGCTTCCAGGAAGGGTCTTTGCTTTACGTCTACACATGTTTTTGTGGTGATGTTTCGTTACAGTCCCTCATTACTTCAGGGATTCTCAGGAGGGTGATTTGGCACCCAAGCCAAGAGCCCGTTCCGTGGCCATTTACTAAATTACCTGCGATAACTGAGCACAGCTCCAGTGGGCCTCAGTGCTTCCAGGAAGGGTCTTTGCTTTACGTCTACACATGTTTTTGTGGTGATGTTTCGTTACAGTCCCTCATTACTTCAGGGATTCTCAGGAGGGTGATTTGGCACCCAAGCCAAGAGCCCGTTCCGTGGCCATTTACTAAATTTGGTCAACCTCAGCTTCAACACTGGTAGTTAAATTAGACAAACTGTTTTATATGGAAATACTGCTCCATGCCACTCATTCAGAAATTTCTACTGTGTATTAGGAAAAATATATACCCGGTAGCCTTAAAAATGAGATGCAAAATAGCAAACCTTGCAGCGTGTGAGCTGATGATACATTTAAAACACATAAAGAAACTGAAGGATGACAAATTATGGCAGCTCAGGCATCCCGTTTTTTTCTTGGAGCACGAACACCACCTAGTGGGACACAGGCAGCGAGCACGTAAGGGCTTGTGTATGCCGGTATGTACAGTAAAATACAGCTGCCCACATGCCTATGTGTGTTTCCATTTTATTTTTTTTTTTTGCTTTTGTGCTGAAATACTAGCGACTTTATTTATTTACTTTATTAGCGGCTTCAGAAGAGCTTGCTTTTGTGCATAGTCTATTTCCCGGCAGCTGGGTTTCACACACTACGAGAAATTAAAATTAATTAGATTAAAATTAATCTAATGCCAACCTCTCTGCTATTCAAATGAAAGGATGCAAACATCTACAGGCGTAAAATCATAGGAGCTATCTTTTCTCCAAGCTTCCTTCTCCCTCCACGTTCTCCCTTAGTATAACTTACTTTACTTAAGTCCTTTATCCAGGAATAAAAACTAAATGAAGAAAAGTGGTTTTTTCTTGGGTACATACTTAGGGTATGCTGATTATAACGAGCTTAACCCTTGACGAAGCGGAAACAAGCCTTCCTTGTGCTTTTATCTCAGGGTGGCCAATCCATGACAGTTACCCAGAAGTTATAAAACCCGTGGGTACTGTGTTGGGGTTTTTTAACAGCATCAACCAGGCAGGACCCTGCAGGTCGTCAACCCCAGGAGGCTGCATCCATCAGCAGCTCCCGCACATACTGTACCAGCGAGAGCGTCTAATTCAGTGGAAGTTTTGTAATCGATTTTGGGGCAACTGCTGTTTAGGAACTTGTCACCACAGTGTAATCAGTGTGGTTGTCCACTGGATGGTGCATCACTTACTGCTGCAGCCCTTGGGGCAGCCTAAATAGTGGCAGTCCTACGGGCCGTATGATGCGTTACCTCCAGATGCAAATGCAGGGGGAAATGGCGTGCAGACAAAGCAGGTATTCGACATTTTTTTTAAATAACATCACATAGAGGAACTTGTAACAAATATAGGCTGAAACCGGGAAATTCTCTCCCGGATGGGAGTTTTCTTCAAGTACAGGCGTGTCTGGGTCTCACCTTACAGCTCTAAGCCTAGCCATTATTTCTGGATGGAGTTCTGAAAATACAGGTACATTTGCAGCTCCCTGAGCAGGAGAGGCCATGATGCTTTTTTTTTTTTTTTTTCTTTTCTCTTGGCTTTGATTTCTGGAGAAAGAAAAGAGAAACTGGATGGCTTTGCACAGCAAATACAGTCGGTGCTCACTGCAGTGCAAAGGTCTTGAGAATGGGTTTGGACCGCAGAGCTATGCTTAATCTGATTTTGCAGGCCCTTGATTTCTGAGGGTCCCAAAGTATTTTTTCTGATGGAATATAGCCCTAACATACCACTTCCCTTTGCCAGGCAGCTGGATTTAAAAGAGGCAGTGCTGTTTAAAGTGTTCGCTATGCAATGAGAAGTTTGATGGTCAACACTGCAGGTGCTTAAGGGCCGGTTAGCAAATCTGTGCTACCCAGAAATTCTGAAATTCAGCTTGCTTTGTTCTCTGTATTTTTAGCAGTCGCAGGTTCCTCATTTCCTCCTCAACTTAAAACCAGACAAATCAGTTGAATATTTTCCTCCCCACATTTTCGCTAAGCATGCAGAGCAGACCTTAGGCTTGTTTTTATATGAACTGCGTTGGGTTTGCCATGCTAAAAACATTACCAGACATGTCAGGACTTTGGTTCTTCTGCAAGTCCTGCTGGTTTGGAACCCGTTTCCACAGCAAGCAGTATTGCCAAGATAAATTGTTTGCCAGAGATAACTTCAAGTCCTCAAACAAATTACCTAAGAAATGTTGAAACATAATGCTGCATGAAGCAAATTGTTTCCATGCTTCCTGTCCTCGTAGGAAGGAACGGAGCTTATCTCTGTTATAGATTCCATAGAGACGGCCACAATACCTGAACTGATGCGTTGTTTGGACTATGGGGGTTTTTGAATACTTCGCGTATCAGAGGAACATAGGAAATATTCATCTATCCTCCCCTCAGTAATGCAAATGCTGGAATTCAAAGGATTTGTAGAGGGATTCCAACAGTCTGGCAAAGTGCAGTAAAGCTGCTCGTGGATTGCATTAGGAAAAAAGGAAGAGTTTACAAAAATTTGTCGTTTGCCCTAAACCCTTTTGGTTCAAGCAGGCTGGTGCCGCTGAGGGTTTAATTACGCACGTTCATGAAGTCCCAAAGGTTTGTCATCTGTGTGGATTTTTCCCCATTGAGTATTGCTTTGTGTCAATACCGTGTTTAAATTTTAACTAACACTAAAAGCCGTTTTTCATAGCCCATTCCCTTGGCAGCCTTTCCCTGCACAGAACCGTATCTGCTGCGCTGCAGGTGCCGGGTTATAACGTTGTGACACATCTCCTATGTTCAGACCATTCTCAGCCCCTCCACGACACAGTCCAAAGCAAGAAAATCACATTATCTCTCTGGCTCTCTGCCTACTCTATGTGGTTAACTTTTAAGACGTAGCCCTTCAATATTAGCTGAAGCGATGGAGATTTGCAGAAATAAATTTCTGAACCTCATTGTCTTACTCTCTGGTGCCTTCTGCTTTTTAGTTCCTGTCCTACTTCGGATTTGATGTGGTTCGTGGGTAGCAATAAAGCAATACAGAACCGTTGTGCCCTGTCTCAGAAAAGGGGAACTTTTGAGGAAGAAGATAAAAGGAACATCTAAGACACCAAAGGCTTTTGAAGGATAGATAGAAACATGGTCATGGAGGCAGAGTAAGTGCACATCAGTATCAGAAAAGACTAGAAAAGGGGCAAAAAGAAGCAGCAGTGCCAAGGAGGTTATTGAAAACAAGTTGCATTCGGAGAAGAAAATCGAAAGAACTGAAAGCACTGGTCTGTTAAACACAAACCACAGCAGAGGTGGGTTTATAACGAAACTCAGGGACAATTGAGTCAAGGCATGAAAATGTTTTTCAAGGAACAGGAAGACCACTGGGAAGTCTGTGGAGCCAACGGGGAGTCAAACCCCTCAGAAAACAGAAGAAAGCATGGGTTCTGAAAGCCTCATCTTTCCCCAAAGCAAGATCAGCTACACTTCAACCACTCCTGAGAGGTTGGGTTGATTTTAGCGTAGGGAAATGAATGCTGGTTAATTGTGAAAGGAATAAAAAGATCCATGGTGCAGCCAGCCAACAGCCTTCAAAAATACGGCTTCTAGAAATGGTACCTACAAGAGGGATGCCCGCTCTGATTATTTTTTTTTGGTGCCTTGGATGAAATGGGCTGCCAAACCTTTTCCCTGCCCGCTGGCTGGAGCTGGCAGCGGGAGCAAGCGCAGGACCCGCGTAGCGCTGAGCGCCCAGTAAAAGGGGGTCAGAAATCTACAGTGGGAACTGCGACCCGAATCAGGGAGCTGGGAACACCCACAGCCTTCAGGCTCGGGGAAGAGCTGCTGATATTGCCCTCATACCCCACCCCAACAGCCCGGGGGGGGGAGACCCCAAAACCCACCTCACCTGCAGCACAGCTAGGAGGACTTCCTAAAAACTAGGAAACTGCCTGAACCTCCCTTTGAGCGCTTAGAGTTCTTAGAATCGTTTTGGTTGGAAAAGCCCTTTCAGATCATCAAGCCCTACCGTTCCCCTACCCCTGCCATCCCACCACTAAACCCTGGTCCTAATCACTGCGTCTGCCCGGCTTTTAAATCCCCCCAGGGATGGGGACTCGACCCCTTCCTTGGGCAGCCCCTTCCAGCGCTTGACAGCCTTTTCGGGGAAGGAATTTTGCCTGATGTCCAACCTAAACCTGCCCTGGAGCAACTCGAGGCCGTTTCCCCTCATCCCATCGCCCGTTCCTCCCTGGGAGAGACCAACACCCCCCTCACTCCCCCCCCTCCTCCTGCCAGGCAGTTTTAGGAAGCGATAAGGGCTCCCCCCAGCCTCTTCTTCTCCAGGCTGAGCACCCAGCTGGGCGAAATGCGCGCTCAGATGCCGCTCCTGGGGAGAAAAATGTAAATAAATAAATAAATAAATAAATGGGTAATTTTAAATAAATAAATAAATAAATGGAAGGAGCAAATGAAACTTCCCAGCGTGACCTCAGCGCGCCGACAGCCGGGACAAACCCCTCGCGGAAACGACCGGCACCGGCCCCGTGAGCGGCCCCGCGGCGGGGTTTGGCGGC